CATTGGACAGGCTGGAGAAGTCCGTGGCTGGGAAAAGGACTCCCCAGAGTAGTTTTTTTCTTCAACTAAATTGATTCAGATCAGTCAGGAACAAAACTCTACTTTTATCTTGTTTTATGTTTAATTCATATGCTGCTTACTTAAGGGTGTGCCTATGGGGTTGGCTTCTGAGAGAAGTGCTAATACATGTGCAAAATGGCTACTACATATTGAAGGTCTCGATCACAACTGGAGTACACAAAACAAAGCTCTGTCCTCAAGATCCCGGTGCTACCTAATTCTGTCTCTCCAGGTCTTTAATTTCCAGCCATTGGAATTGCCTCAAATCCATTTTGGCACAGAATACATAATTATTTTCATATTGTGCTAGTCTACTCTCCTGCTTTCATCCCTATGAGCCAGGAGTGAATAAGAGTTGGCAACTTTATACTCGACTATTATATTGCAGAGTACACTTTAATCAGCACCCTAATAAATAGCACGCCCAATTAATTGGGATATTTGCCAGCAAACCAATTCCATTCCCTGCGCTTCAGTGGCTGTAAATGATGGATAAATAGCATTCTTGATGTTGTCTGTGAGCATATTTGTTGTAATTAACAGGTATGAGTTGGTGTTTGCTGGCATGTGTTTCCTCAGTAGCTTGCTCCCTTTTTAGTAGGCTCCCAGTTCCCATGCAGTTACTGAAAATAAATAAAGAACAGATTTCCCTTCCAGTATTTGCTTAAATCAAGGTAGTCCTTTTGTATTAAAAAAAAAGAAGTAATCTATACAATACATTGCCACATGGTTTTGACAATAAAAGGTAGTAATATAATTAGCATATTTCTGTTTTAATTAGTATGGTAAAGAGGTCCTTGCCACACCATGGAATAATTTACAATAAAGGAGAGATTTCTGCTGCAGCTCTCTAATGTTATTTTTTTTGACCAGGGGTTGCACAGTGGTTGACTTTAAAGCTGTATTTCCTTGAGGGACATCCACAGAAATACCATCTATTTTCATAAACTGGTATGTGCTATGATTTACTGTAGACATGTGATAGTTTCTCTTATTTGGACATCCTTTGCCAAAAAAGTAAATAAAAATGAACATGGTAAACTTTTCTAATCCCTGCATTCCTCACAGATTGCTTTAGTGGTGACTGAAAAAAATATTGGAAGTAAATGAATATGAAAAGGGAAATGGTACTGGAGAAATCTCAACAAGGGATCTTAAAAACCAGGATGGCTATGGATCAGCAAAGGGTAGAAACATTTGTGTAATTAAAGGAGAACATAATTTGTGGGTTATCTGAAAAAAATTGTCCGGGTTGGCATTTACTTTGACTTGTTGGCAGGAAGAAAAGAAACCGCCCTGTACCACTGCGTAAGGTTCCTTATTAGTTGTGGCTTCTGCAGAGACTCCGTCTCCTCTTTGGAGCATGGAGGATTTCTTTCATTACATAATCTGGAATTTTTATTTTTTTTTAATAGATTGAATTTTTTTTCCTCCTATGTGTGCAAATTCTCTTTGCCCCAATGCTTCTATACTGAGGTTATTATGCTGAAGGAATGCAAGCGTCTAGAGTAACAATGGTTCATTTTCCTTTAATGACTTTGTCGACAGGATGGAGACATTTTTGTGGTGTGATGAATTCACTTGGTCTCCCGTTGTGTTTTCTCCACATGCTTTGGAAACTCTCTCTCTCTCTGAGAATTGTGGCCATCCACTCCAGCAAGAGCTTCATTACTTTATATTCATTGTATTTAAATGACACCCCAGTGGTACTGACCTCCTGGGATGATTGATGTAAATTATATGCTATGTAGGGGGAAAATAAAATCTTTTTCTGGCTTTTTATGTTCTGCAGAGAAATAAAAAGTGAAAACAAATGACAGAGAATATCAGGCCTATTCAAAGTGAAACTTTGTAAGCATTATGGTTTGAGCAGACTCCAGTTTGTAAAAATGCTGAGACAGTTCATAATGACCTCATGATCTGAAAGGTGACCTGAGAAGGGGGAAAATAATTTTGTATGTGCCCTTTTTCGGTTCTGTATAATACGTAACAAAAACCTGATCATGTTTTTTTTTTTTCCCACTTTGCAAGTATTGTAAGAATTCAGACTTGAGCAGGGAGCAGCCTCTGCACTTTTATCAGCTTGACAAAGGCACGTTATTAGAAGGGACGCCTCAGTGCTCTTTCCTCCTGTCTTCTAGCAGATTTTCTCATATTGACTTTGGATTTTGTAGCCAGTAGGTATCTGTCTTGTTCAATTATTCTGCCAGGAGTTATCACCTATAGGAGTGGCAACAGGGGGAATGTTCTCTCATCAGCCCAGCTCATCATCGGGCAGGAACTTCAATCCCTCATGAACTGGTAACCTCTCACTGCAGGCAAAAGGGTTCTGCACAGCAACACAATTTGTCAGGAAATGTTTCTGTCAGTGCTTTTTCAGGCACCTCACCAAGTCACACTGCTTCTATCCAACTCCTGGAAGTTATGTAGCTCACACTGGATATGCTCAACCATATCATCCCAGTAATTCCCGTATTAAAATTACCATATGAGACTGGCATAGTAATTTCTCTATTTTTTCTATGTTCTTATATTATTCTGTCCTACCAATTCTGAGATATATAAAGATATGCATAGAAATGTCAGTAACACGCTGCCTCGCCTCCCTCAGTTTAATGTAAGCTTCTGACAAATCAAAGAATTTGGCTAAAAACTCGAGTCGCCTCAAGTTTTTCTGCAGTACTTTTCATAACCTGACAGAATGTTTTGATTCTTTTTTTCTCCAGGAAAATGCTTATTGATAATCCTGCTTTGGCTGGGGTTGCCCAGATATTTTAAAATATGTAACAGGAAGGAACTGTTCAGGCCATCCTTCTCACAGCAATGACTGAAGACTTTGCTGTGCAGGCAAGAATCAGCAGAGTGAGGCCTTTCATTCTCCAGGATAATATCTTGGTGTTTTGCCCTGTTGCTGTCAGTGCTCGGGCTGGTATCGGCTTTACTTCCATAATCGTAAGCAGCAGCAGAAGGGAGAGGGGCTGGCAGCACTCGGCAGCGAGCTGCAGAATCACCTCGTCTTTCTGAGGCTGATGTGGGAGGTGGGAACAGGGAGGAAGCAACAGAGGGGACTGACAGAGTGTTTATATGAAGTAGCAAGAAGGACAGGGAGTGAGTGGTAGCCAAAAAAGAGTAAGGGCAGCAGAAGTCAGCTAAGGGAAAAAGAAAATAAGATTATTTTCTACTAAACTGGAATTTAGATTGTCTCTAGAGTGTTAAGATCACTGCAGTGGTTGCCACAGCTTTCTTCTTCTTCCTTTTTTATCTGGCCCCCAAAGAATAAAATACTGATATTTACATAAAATTACAAAGTCTCTAAACTGTCAGTTTTTTAGAATTAATCCTAGTAAAATGATATGAATCCTGCTTGGTGTGTAGGCAGGAGTTTGAATTAAAAAGGGACTAAGGAGGGCAAAGTAAAAGAGCCTAACTTTTGAAGTTATATGCCCCACAAACGTTTCAGGAAAGTTAGATTTTTTCCAAAGCACTAATGGTCACTCCACTTACCTCTGTTGGTCCCATTTATTAGTTCCCCTTTATACCATTGCACACATCAGCCTGTCTCCCAAGAAACCTGCATGTGATGAGTGGAATGACCGAACTAAACTCATAGAAACTTACTATTAGGAGGTGTCCAAGGAAGAACTTGAAAGGAGGAAGAAAAAGTTAAAAGAAAGGAAAGGTTGCCTAGCCATGCCCTTCCCCATCAACCTGTTCAATTGGCAGGATATAGGAAGAGGAAAGCCACCACTGCCAGGAATCAAGAGAAAAACATGGGTATGTAACCACACCAATGCACTGAATCAGCACAGAAAAGAACAAAATATTTCAGCTGGAAGGGACCTACAACAATCATCCAGTCCAACTCCCTGACCATGTCAGGACTGATGCAAAATTAAAGCACGACCAACATTAAAGGATAATGATATTGTTCCAATGCCTCTTATACAGTGGAAGAAGTAGAGCATCACCCACCTCTCCATAAGCCTGTTCCAGTCTCTGACCACCCTCTCAGTAAAGGAATGCTTCCTAATGTCCAGTCTAAATTTCCCTGGCTCAGCTTTGAACTATTAGTGTCATGGCTGAAATAGCACAACTGGGTTTTGCTGTTGCACCATTGGTGTTTCCAAGGGTAAAGATGAACACAGGTTGCTGTTGTTCACACTGCTGTTTTTGAATGCCTGTACAAAGCTGTGGCTGCAGAGATGAGTGTGCTGGCACCTGTGCTGAGGCCAGACACCTGTGTATGCCCACACCTCCCTGCTGCAGGCACATCCAGCTGTCTGTCCCCAAAATCCCCAGGCTTTTGGGACTCATAGCAGCCCTGGAGCCCCTTCCTGCTGCTCTCCAGCAATGCCTGGCACTGAAGGGGAAGAAAAAGGTGGTCATGGCCCACCAGGCAGCACCTGCAACACCATCCCTGGAGGTGTTTAAGGGAAGACTGGACCGAGGGACACGGTCTGGCTCCCAAGGTGGTGATCTGTCATAGGTTGGATTTGACGATCTCACAGGTCGTTTCCAACCTAATTGACTGTGTTATTCACAGAATCACAGAATTGTTAATGCTGGAAGAGAGACCTTTGGAGACCATCCAGTCCAACCCCCCTGCCAAGGCAAGATCACCTGGAGCAGGCGACACACAAAGGCGACCAAGTGGGTTTGGAATGTCTCCAGAGAGGGACAATCCACAGAATCCCTGCGTAGCCTGCTCCAGTGCTCTGTCACCCTCAACGTAAAGAAGTTCTTCCTCATGTCTAGGTGGAACTTGTTGTGTTTCATTTTATGGCCACTTCTCCTCGTCCTGTCGCTGGGCACCACTGTAAAGAGCCCGGCACAATCCTCCTGGCACCCGCCTTTGCGCTATTAACACGTATGAACCGGTGATNTGGCGGAACCGGCTCCTCCCCGGCGCGGGCGGCGCCATTTTACCCCCCCCTCTCTCAGCGGCCGTGGCGGGCGGGGGGAACAGCGCAAAGCCGCCGCCGCCGCCGCTGCTTTTCCGCCCCCCTCGTTTGTCGCCTCGGTCCAGGCAGCGCGTGGAGGGGAAGGACCGAGGTTCAGTGCCTGCCCCTCGCTTTCCCCTCTCGGCTGTCCGCACACGGGGTGGGGGGACCGGGCACCACAAGCTGCTCCCACCTTCCTTCCATCCTTCCTCCCCTGCACATCTCAGCCTCCTCATCCATCCATCCATCCATCCATCCCCAGGGGTGAGCCTTTGAGTGAGTCACCAGAGAGGGCACGCAATTAGGGAGTGTGTTGCTATTAATTAACTTAGCGAGGCTGCTCGTTGTTGGGGCCTTCAGGAGCATTAACGGGGCGGTTCCTGCCCGCGGTACCTGTGGCGCGGGGGGTGCGGGGGCGCGGGGTTTTCTCGTGGCCTTCAGTGTTACATTGGACCCTGCCCTGTCCTGTTCGTTTTGTCTTGCAACTAATTTAGGAGGTGTTCCTACGACTCCTTTTTATTTTTCTAATAATTTTTTTTTTTTTAAATTCTTTAAAATTACGTGACAGTGGCCGAGCTTTGGCCTGCAGTTCAGGGTACTGCTGGTTGTTAATTTCTTCGTGTCACTCTGATGTTGTGAAATGTGACTGGTTTGTAAATTTCTTCTGGAGGAAATGGATTTTACTTATTTTGCCCGAACAGGTGCGGTGATTTCCTAACTGGAACCCTGTGGTATTCCTTATTTGGAATCTGGTGCATTCGGCTGCTCGTTCTTGATGAGAAATTTTGGATACATACATTGATGCCCTAACTTAATAGTATTCCTGATATCCCAAAATGTTCTCACAAGCTCTGTCTATAGTGTTCCTTATAGAGGGTATTAGTCCTTACAGAAGTTAGTGGTAAATGTTAAAAGCCTAGGACTGACGATCCAAAAGAAAGTTTCTCTGTATTAGCTGTAAGTTATTTTTCCACTTTAGAATATTTTTATACTTCCTGTGTACATATCAACTGCTTCTAAGTTCCTAGAAATTACACAAATGGATGATTTGCAGTCGATGGCTTGAAAGCATATATACATGCAAAATATATATTACTGTGTTTGTGAAATGGGAGCAGGAATCTGGTGTTGCAGACAATGCAAATTTGCTGTATGGCATTAGTGTTAGTGATTTATTGTGAGATGTTTGATTTCCTACAAGTGAATCTGTTTCAAGGTTTGCAGCAGTGTTGGTGTTTCACTAAAATTTTCTTTTGAACTCTTTTCTGTAACTCCAACATCATTCTCTTGGTACAGGCCTCACTTTCCCTTTGGATTAAGGCAGCAGCGTTTACTTGGCAGGATGCAGGGCATCCACCCTCTCCCTTTTTGCATATCATTCTTTACTGTTGGCCAGATCCAAGTGGTATGGAAGGCAGTATCGGTCCTTTTGTTAACTTTGGTGGACTTTACACAGGCTCTTCCTATTTGCATGTTACTAATATTCAAATCACATTTTGTTTTATTTTGGTTCCTTTTTTATCCTGTGTATTGTTGCTGTGTAGATGGGAATGTTGATGGCAAAAGTAGATTTCTAACTGTAACAGGATAAAATTATGGTTTTGGAAAGCCTCATCTATCTCTGCTTGTGAAAGTTTGAAAAAGTTAGTTTTCAGTTAAAGAGCTTAGCTGTGATGATTCTGAAGAAAAGTTTGAGCTCTAACCAGAATATACTAAAACTGCAGGAGGAAAAGCTCAAAGTTGTGTTTCTGAGATGTAAACAAGAAATCCTTTAGTGGCATTTAACTTGTGTTTTTCAGATCTATGGATTTGAAGTCATTGCTTAAGATTTCACAGAACTCTGTGGCCTTTAGAGCCTCTGAGTGTCATAACCGGCTGAATTACTCTCCTGGGCTCAGTTCTGGTTAGTACAGAACGGAGCTGTTTGAGAGTTGATTGGTCAATTAGTAACTTGTCACAGCTTAGGCAAGCTGTAATTTAGCAAGCTACAAATGTTTTAAGAATTGCCTACATATAACAGTGTAGAGCAACAGTGAACATTGTTCATGTTGTTACTGCTGTTCTGCTGGGCTGCCCTCGAGCAGTGAGACCAGCTAGACGGTGTCTTTCTAGGTCATCACTCTAAGGGTGTTCTATGGCACGAGGCCAAACCAAGGCAGTGTAATTATACCGTAGAAAATAACTGAGTTAATGCTCTTGTTGCAATTGGAAATACCCAAATGTGTATTTGGCCTGTGTTCTCATGGAACCAGGCAGTGGTGACTCAGTTACAAGCTTATCTGGAGCTGATCAAAAAATCTGCCTGTCAAAGGTACTGAAAGTGGTATTGATTTGATCTGTAATCTGTGTTTCAGGTTCTTGGCATTTGTAGTGCTACGTGGAGTCGTTATTAATTTTAAGTAATCTTAGTAAGCGTTCTTTTGCAAGCTATCACAGGTGAAATTTCTATTTATAAATAATCTTTGGCTTTTCTCTACCCCTGTATTTTGCATATGTTTGAAGTATCATGTTTGATTACAATCAGACTTTCACAGAGTCAGCTGCAAAGTTTCTAGTTCACACAGGTCCTTGAGCCATCACAAAAGTAGCAGTAATGGAAGAAAGGGGCCAAGAGCTTGTCTGGAAGATGTGATTTCCAATAGACTTTTGTGGAAATGTAGGCCTTTTTACTTGAAATGCTATTCAAGCATATGATTTTTAAAAGCATTTAACAATGAAGAACTCGATAATTCTTCTGATTAGGCCGAGTACCAAGTTAACCTGGAGAAATGTGCATTCATTTTAGCAGGAACTTACTGGATATCATCTGGGACTGTGTGATCTCTGAAAAGGGCTGGGTGGGCCTGAATGTCACTGACATATTGTTCGACAAACTCCTAAAGAGCTATCTTTCATGCTTTGACCTTATATTAAAGCCATGGCTGTTTTTCCTGTAGCTTTACTTGATTTAGATGTTGCATAGATGAACAACAATGGAAGTAGACATTTTCCCCTCAAGAGAATTTATACTTGTGGTGGTAAGCACTGATTTCTGAAATGGGAACAGCTCCACAAGAAGAATTGGATTTTTTTTTTTTTTTTTATAATCTTAGCTATAGATTTGGCTGCTCATTCTTGATGAGGAATTTTAGATATGTGTGTTGATGCCATAACTTGATGGTATTCCTGATATGCCAGAATATTCAATTAAGGTCAGGGTGCAACTATGAACTAATATTATGAAATGATTTTAATTGTATTTCACATAGTGAATCAAACACAGCTCAGGGTGATATGAGAGAAGGGTTGATGTAATCAGTGTGATAGGTTGGGAAGATGCCATTTTGAAAGGAGATGAAGGCAGGTGAAGGTTTAGACAGAAAAGGAAAATACAGTTTAAAGTTAATGATGACTTGGTTATGCTTCACAGAAAACGTCTGTTAGTAAACCCTTAAATTTTAATTTACTTTAAATGGAGCTGGAGGCAGATGGGGACTCATGCTCAATAGAGGAGTTGCTTGCTGGCCAGTGAGCAGTAAAACGTACCTGACCTCCTCACATTAATACAGGAATGCTTTACTCGTCAGAAAAAGCAAAATACTGAGCAAGTCACAATGGGGGCCTGTTCATCCTTGCATGCTGGAGTCAAGTGTTCAAGTCCTTGATGACTTGGAAGCTTTTTTTTTATCACCAGACCTGTGAGCACACCTTGTATTTGCTTCACTGAAAATTGCAAGTGGTTCCCACGGGAAGGTCATGACCACTGAATTGCATCTCTGCACAATTATTAAAATAATTTGTATAGAAGGTTTGTAAAACCTGTGTATTAAGAAAAAGCAATTGCTAGTTGAAGTAAATTCAGGGTTTTAGGAGTCAGATTCTGGAATCTGTGAGAACTTGGCTGTTAGTTTCAGATTGTTTGGTCTTTACACTGTTTTCTTAAAGCATTTTTAGTAAGGAAGGAAAAAGTCATTTGTGCTTAATTTGCAGTGCTATTAACTGCCAATGTGGCACAAAGCTCTGCAAAGAAGTATGCACATTCAGTTCAGAGGGTGGTGGGTGTATGTATTGGATTCATTTTGTCTGCTTCCTTTTTAAAAACCAATGTATCACTTCTGGGGAAGGACACAGTTGTGATTAGACTGGAGTTGGAAACTCTGAGAAGTGTTTGTAAACACCTCCAGATGTCAAGACAGAGCTCTCAAGTAAAATTATTCTCTATATTTCCTAGTCTCAAATAAAACAGTAACATCTGTGTATTAGTATTTTTTCAGTAGTCCAGACCCTTTTGTGGTCTGGTTCAGAAGAAGCTTAAAGTAACATGGGGATGGACAAAGAGTTGTGCTTGTTTACTGCTTTCATGCTAGGTCTTCAGTAAAAGTAATGCAGAAAGACTGAGATATAGAAATGAACAGGAAGGATTATTTTATCTTCAGGGATGTTGAACAGTTCTAAAGATGAAATCATTAGGATGCATGTTTTTCTTTGGATGAAAATATGCCTACATGTATTAGAAAATTTGGTTTACCTGTTGTTGTCAGCCATGCATGTTTCTTCTCTGACTTCTACATGGGAATGAATGACTGAAATGCCTTTTAAATGGACAAGGGGAAATTATGTTCAGTTGTATTCCTTGTATTCGTGTGGGCTTTCCAAGCATGTTCACTTCTAAGAGATTGTCATGGTTAAAGATGAGATGCTTATTTGTCTGGGTGGTGAAAGCTGGGCTGTGCATTGACAGCTATAAGATGAATAATTCTTTCTGGTATTCAGTTTAAAATAAAACTACCCTAAGAATCCGGTCTATCAAGTAATAAATGGAAGCAGCAGCAGCAGATGTAATACGTTATCCTTAGAATGAATAGTGCATGCATTCTGCTTTGTGGTACTTTGTTAATTAATTAAAAATGAAAGAAAGCTGAGATTGCAGCCTGAGCTTTGAACAATATTCTTGTGTGCAGACCTGGTGCAGATGTGTCCCTGCCTGCTCACAGATTGCTTCTAATCCTGTATTTGGTCTGACTGTTCCCTGAAAGTTTGTGCCTTTATCCGCTTGGCTTTTTAAGATGATCTGCTTAGGGAATATGGAAGTTATTCATCCTATTTCCTGTAAGCAAGACCATTTTTTAATTGTCACTCAAAAAGCTGGTAGTTTTTGACCTGAACAGGTTAGAGGATAATAAAAATCCTAAATCACACATGCACTGTGCTTATCTGAGACCCTTTAGAGTGTTCTAATTCCAGCCTGCTTGAACATCTCAGGAGAACTTAGGGACTTCACACTTAGTGTTTTCATTTTCAGTTAATTTGTGCTACTGGGAGAGTGGGTGACAAGTAAAACAGTGTATGTACTCTTGCATTTGGTTATGGGGTATTGGGTTTTTTTTAAACTTATTTTTTATAGTTTTGAGCATACACTCAGCCAGTCTTGCATGTGTTCAGAAGGATTATGGTGTGTTTTTGTCTTTTAAAAGAAGTGCAGTAACAAAAATCTGTATTTTCTGTAGTTAATTAAGTTCTTACATCTTCAGTCCTATAAGACTGTTATCCTATACCCTCTTGTCAGCTGGTGAGGCCATGAAATACTCAGTGGTAACAGACTAGTTAATCTAATTACTCTGAAGTAGAGAGTGTGGAAACAAAAGCATTAATTTTAATTCTGTGTTAATTCATAGTTATATTGGCTTTTCTTTCCTTCCTGTTTTGTTTGAGCTTATATAAATGAAAATTTGTCAGTCTTTAAATTTTTGCATGGTTTCAGATTATATGCAAAATGTATTTATGAAAAGACTGATGTGATAACCATGTTAGATGTATGCTTGATGAATTAAATAATTGTAATGGTAACTCCTACTCTGTGTTATTCAGTGTAAAAATTTTTTCAGGGATACTGCTAGTTTTTTGTAATCCAGCAACTTCTTTAGCCTATAACAGAGACATCAGAGAAAATATCTGTAAATCCACATTTGTTTTAAACTGACCCAGTGCAGACTTATTTTTTTTCTTGTTGTGAAGTGAAAACTGTGTTGCTATTAACTCTTGCTCTTCCTGGGTGAGTTTAGATCAGATTGTCTGTTAGAGGACTGTTCTGTAGTCACTGGATGCAACTTTCTCCTTGATTTTTGTGTGACGTTTCATCAATGGGGATTAGTGGTGTCTGAGTAGTATCTGAGATGCCTTGAATGAGTCTCTTTTGTTCAGCCTGGAGAAGGGGACACCTCACAGCACCTTCCAGTACCTAAAGGAGCTCCAAGAGAGCTGGAGAGGATGTGCAATGATGGGACAAGGGGGAATGGAGGGAGGTTAAGATTAGAAAAAGAGAAGTTTTTTGCTCTGAGGGTGGGTGAGGCACTGGAACAAAGGAGTGGTGTCAGCCTTATCCCTGGAAGTGTTCAAGGCCAGCTTGGATGGGGCCCTCAGCAACCTGGTCTGATGGAAGGTGTCCCTGCACATGGCAGGGGGTTGGAATGAGATGAGTTTTAAGATACTACAGAATGGTTTGGGTTAACAGGTATGATTTTATACATATATTATATGTAAATATAGTATAGGATATTGCCTAAATATATAAACCTAATATATAATATGATATATTAGGAGCAGTGGAATTCCAATTTTTATGTCTCCCAGCTGGATCTTGAATAAATACATGGGTTATACAGATCACTTATTGATTGTAGAAAATTCAGTGTAAGTTCATATTGCTTGGTAATTTCAGAGTGGATATGGATATGAAGGAGGGTTATGCAACAAGAAATCTACCTAGGTATTTTACTGTGGTGAGAGGGATGGGCCTAAACCTGATGAGAAATTACTTAAAATTTGTTTCCCTCAACTGATAACTTCTGTTCTGTGATTCACATGGAACAAGTGTTTTTTGTTATAACTCTTCAGTGTAAAAGACATAGAGATTACAGTAGATGCTTTTAAACATTTATATCAGTGATTATATACACTGTTGAATGTGTTTTTTACTATACATTTGATTGCAATGTTATACTTATGAGAAAAGAATTTATTAAAGCTGGGCCTACTTGGATAGGAACTCAAAATTACCAGTCCAAATAGTGCTAATCAGAAGTTATCTTCTTGCTAGAGTTCATGATTAAAATGCAGCAGATTGAAATAATCTGTGACATAATCTGAACATCTGAATTCATTTTATAGAATATGGCAAACAGCTGCATTTCCGTTTGGAGCTAAAACAAATACAGTGTATCGACCCATTGAAGATCATTGCAGGCTTTTCAGTTCCATGATAGCTGTACTTACAGAAAAAATTGATTTGAGAGTGCTTCTGCTTTTGAATTATCTTTTTTATTTTTTTTTTTTTTTAATCTCCGGAAGAAAGGAAATAGAACATACGGAGGATGGGACTTTGATGTGTAAAGAAGTTAATTATCTAAACCATCAAACAGAATGTGGGCTGTGGAAGTAATTATTGTAAAGGGTCTGATGAGGCCTGACAAGCTGTTGGTTTTTTATGACAAGAAAATGCTGTACACCTGCTTGATTTGAAAGTTAAATCGTTTGGTTGCAATAGAAGGACCCAAGTTTGTAGTGAAGCAGTAGCTGATAAACTTTCAGCTCTCAAACCACTGAGATGTACAGCCCTTCAAATTTTTTTAATCAAACTGTTCTTGTCCACTTGGAGGGAAGGAACCTAAAAAAGGATTTACTCTAGAATGGGACAAGCATGAATCACAGACCTTATGCTGTGAAAAGGCAACTGTGGAATTGGGCCCCATGGTTTTTGGGAATTTTGGAAGAATGTTTCATAAATTAGCAGAACAGAACCTCATGGATAAAGCACAATGTCTGTCATGGATATTCAAAGAAAACAGTTATATTCTTCAACTGATGTAATTAGATTTAAAAAAAATCTAAATTAAAACCTCCTTAAATCTGCATGTTACTCAGTTTTTAATGAATACACTGTCAATTCTCTGTTTAGGAATATTGGTACTATGGTATTGAATAGAAAAAATATAGCTACTAAAATTAGTCCTAATTAGTCCAAATCAAATGATGAAAAATAAAATACATATAAATTTCTAAAACTTCAGGCAGTTTCTGCTAAGATGGGTACAAAGCCAACTTCCTCTTAACTCCCTTCCATGGATATATAGAATTTTCCTGTAAATATTGGCACCTTTCTTTGTTAAGAGTGTTTCTACTTGTTATTTCATTTTTAAATTCACTAATTTGACTGTTTAGGTTAGATGACTCTGGTAACTGCTGATTATGGCAGGATCCAGACAACACTTTAGCCTTGTGTGTAACTACTCATGTGATTAAAATCAGACTTGAGTGGGAGCAAACTTGTGATTCAAGTTACACATGTGCATAAGTGCTTACAGGATGAGGACCTAAATTAGAATCTGCCTGAAGATGAACTGAAGTCTGATAATCTACATGAAAGCATTAATAAAAAAAATTAAACTTACGACACCAAGTTGGGTGGGGTAGGGAGGCTGCACAGAGGGATCTGTAAGGGCTGGATCAATTGATCAAGGCTGGTTTTATGAGGTTCAACAAGTTCAAGTGCTGGATGATGTACTTAAGTCACAATAACCTTGTACTGTGCTGCAGACTGGGGCAGAGTGGCTGAAAAGCTGCTCAGTGGGAAAGGACCTGGGGGAGCTGGCCAACAGCAGCTGAATGTGAGCCAGCTGTGCCCAGGTGACCAGTGGTGTACCAGCCCTGGTGTGGCAGCAGGGGCAGGGCAGTGACTGTTCCCTGTGCTGGCCATGGCTGAGGTCACTCGAGAGCTGTGTCCAGTTCTGGGCCCCTCAGTCCAGGACATTGAGGGGCTGGAGCGTGTCCAGAGAAGGGAATGGAGCTGGGGAAGGGTCTGGAGCACAGCTCTGATGAGGAGCAGCTGAGGGAGCTGAGAAAGGGGCTCAACCTGGAGAATGGGGGGGATATTCTCAGTCCCCCTGACAGGACAAGATACCCAGGTGGGGTCAGGCCCTTCTCATGTGTGCAAAGCTATAGGAGAAGAGGAAATAGCCTCAAGTTGTTCCAAGGGGGGTTCATATATTGGGAAAAGCTTTTTTCATAGAAAGTGTGGTCAAACATTGGAACAGGCTGCCCTGGGAAGTGGTGGATTTCTATACTAGAAAACAGTGTTATCCTTTGAATTTTAAAATGGAGAGAAGAAGGATCTCTTCCAGCACAGGAAGCTATCTATATCAACATAAAGCTTTTATTGTAGCTACTACAAATAGTGCAAGAAATGAGCAATACAACTCAGCTGTTACTAGTGTGTAACAAACTAGAAGACTAAGAAATATAGTGAGAATATATCCTGTTTATTAGGGGACTTACACAGTATGCAATTTTTATTAATTTTTTTGAAGGGAAAAATGAAATTCCCTTTTACATATTTGTGGAGTTTTCCGTAATTAAATTTTGCTTAGTCAGTACTTTAGCAAGGAATTATTTTTTTAATTATTAAATTATTTTTTAAAATTAAATAGTTCAAAGCCATTTGACTTGCATAATGTTAAAGAGGGAAATGTAAATTTGTTAATTACTTCATAGAATAAGAATTAAAGTGTCCTGGATTTGCTTTGGAGTTATTGAATGAGATATTTATATAGAAAAACTGTAAGATACTTTGTGTAAATATAGTACTTTCACTGGCATGAGTTGTATGATGGTGGTCAGGTCTACTCTTTCTAACGCATTACTCTTTTAAGAATTTTAAGTTGTGTGTGTGAGGTGGTTGTTTTATAAAGGAAGTTTCTCATCTCTGTGCTCATAAAGTTTTAGCTGGCTTTTTGTGAGACTCTTTTTTTACTCTTAGCCTCATTGAAGAAGGTGTGGATGTGATTTACTGGTGGTTAGGATATACAGAAATATAGGAGGATGATTGGGCAGCAGGGGTTCTGGTATCTGTGAATACCATCTATTCCAGAGTAGTGGTGTTTTCATCTTAATGGTTTTATACTGGTACTTTTTAGGATACTTCTAAATTTTATTTTAGAGTTAGTGCACATTTCCAATACTTTGGTCACAGTAAACATCAACTCAAGCTTTCTAGTGCCTCACATAGGCTTTTTTTTTGTATGCAGAATCTTTACCTTCCATGTTACTCCAAATATCTTTTCTTGCTTTTAAATATCTAGTGTGAAACATACATGTGATCTCTTGGAAATGAAATACAAGTATTGCAGTGCTGTTATTTCTTTGTTTACCCAGATGAGCAGCACTGTGGCCAGCCCGATGTCAGCAGTTGCCTCTTCAAGCAGTGGAAGAAAATCAACGAGCTTTACACCTGAATTGCAGAGTATGATGTGAGTAGTCAGCCAAAATATCTGGTAGTATCTGCATTGTGTATTCATCTTTTAGCTGATTCCTTAGAATGTGTGAGTAGGGTGATAGGGGAAAGAAGAGCAGGTGTTACTAATGGAGCTGTTAGTGTTTTACTTCTGATTTGTAAAACATTCAGAGATGACTTGAGTAAATAGAACCCACATCTTCTATTGAAAGGAGAGTAAATGCTGCTGAGTAAAGAAATGTGTTTTTAATATTTAGTTTAGAAGTCTTCAGAGTGCTATATTTCTCAGACCTTGATCAAAGAAAGCTAAGCTTCCAGTTACCATAGATATGTTTTTAAAAAAATACTTTCTATTAGCATCTTTCAGTGCTAATACAGAGAGATAAACTGCTGAGATCATAATATTGCTGATGAAATTATGATATGGAATGCTTGTAAATAACCAGGGATTGCCAGACAGGAAGTAAAGTTGTTTAAAAAGTAAGTTACTTACTCTTTCAAAGGAACACTGGATTCTTAGAAATCCTGTTCCAGGCTGTGAAATGATTTTGTGATTTGGTGGTGAGAGTAAATGCTGTGTTGCTTTTAGTCATATGTTGTAGTTTTGCCTACACTGTTGTATAACAATTTCTCACCTGAATTTACTACATGGGCAGTAGAAGCATAAGGAGTTACTTGTTTCCATTAAATTCTACAAAGAGTTCCCTTTGCAAGAGTGAAAGATGCAATTAATTAATTGCAAGATGCAGTTAATTAAGTGTCCTTATGAGATCACTAGATTGTTTTCAGGTGGATAATGAGATATCTGCCACTGGCATATTTTTCAGTGTAATGTAAATAAGAACTTTTTTTTGTGCATTGAATGTTCTGATGTAGATGAGTACACTGTTACAGGCCCGGAGTTCTACTGTATTGAGTTTTCTTTGGATAGAAAAATATTACTGCTCTCTCTCTCCTTCAAAAGAATTGTTTGCTAATTGTTTGCATCTATTAAGGTCGTCTATGCTGAAAAATACAACTGTTGTTCTTGGTTGAGAAAAATAACTGTAACTGTGTTTGAAAAACAAAACTTCAGAGTCAAATTCTGTGCATCAGTTTGGATCAGTATCTGGGGAGCCTGCATTTTATTGGATTGTGGACTTCCTGATAAAGTGTTTTGAAACTCCCCTTCCCCGCCAGTGTACACACAATTCTGTCAGAATATAGAAGTTATTGTTGGCCATATAAATGGAAGGAATAGACATTTTCCTTCTGCTTCAGAACTGGTGAAGTTATCCTTTGAAAGCTGTGCAAACAGATCATCTGTGCTCCAGAGTAACATATTTCACAGCTTCATTAAACTAGTAGGAGCTGAGGAAATTCCTTGACTGCAATGAGGACATTGAAACTTAAATTTTTATTGTTTGCTGTGGAAAAAAAAAGGAGACTTTTGAAAATGATAGAGTGCCAGGGATGAACCATGCAGAAAAAAAGGACAACTGTTTCCTTTGGCCAGGGCCATAAAATGAAATTATGCCTTTAAAAGAACTTTCTGTGCTCTGACAGAAGCTGACATTTTTTATAAACGATGTGATTTAGGAAGTTACGGATTCTCCTGTTTAGGCGATTTATAACAAATTCCTGCTGACATCTTAAGATCCCGGGAAATAGCAAAGATTGGAGCAATGCAGTGCAAAAAAGGTAACATCTTCTTAAAGAAAAGAAAATAGTAGCTGTCTCTGCCTAATTTCTTACTGTCAAAGAGAAGGGTCACCTATCTGCTCTAGTCTTCATGGAGTAATATGACCAGTAACTTCAACTCGCCCTGCCTTTCTCAACAAAATGTGCAACAACAGGATGAACTTCTGAGAAATAAGTCATATGGAGACATTAAGTATTAATCCAGAATGTCATGTAGTAGTTTGTGTTGATTTTAAAAATGAGCTGTTGGGTTTTAGGGATTTAAAATGCAGAAGGAAGAGAGAGAAACTGTTTTTGGAGTAGAATTTCAAATCCTGTTGCAACCCAGTAGCAAGATCTGGAAATCTCTGGATAAGAGTATTTCATGGTCTGAAGGTGATTTCTCTGGTTAGTGTATCATTTGCAGCACAGAAGTGTTGAGCCACTGTTTGATTCAATGGAATGCTTAAATTTGCATGTAATGTTAAGCTTGTGAGTAATCACATTTAAGGTGAGGAGGTTATTCATATGCTACATCTGTTACGTATACTACACCTGTTTTTGAACCATGGCACTGTAAGGGAATGAACTGAATCCTGTTGTAGAATTGTGTTTTTATGATAAGCTCAGAAGGTTTTTTTTTTAATTTATTTGAGAAGGCAAATGTATAGGAGTCTTGAAATCATAAAATACTGAAAAAAAATCTGTCTTAGTCTGTACAAATTCTTCATTGTATACATAGATACTTTACTAATGAAATTATTCTGTTTTTCCATTAAGAATATTTAAGATGTATCCTTGGATTGGAAGAAATTTTTGTGTTGAGAAAAGAATCTGACTTGTATGATGCCTAAATAGTACTGTGTAATTTGTGATAGTGCATGTGCTGATTACCTTAAGAAGAATGCTTCTTAATCAGATTGTCACAGATCATCCAAACACAAGTCAATTTTCAGTGCATGACCTTTGGCATAGTTATATTTAGCTTTTAATTGTTAAGACCTTGGAATGAATTTATATTTATCTTATATTAATTTAAAAGAGCAAAGTGCTATGTAGAGCTTGCTCTGACTTCTACATCCTTTACTTGTGTTTGGATTTTTTTATTATGGTACCATGGAGTGTATAGCAATAGATGCTAATAATTTAAAAAAGAATTTTCAGCACATCTAGTGCATTTTGCTGAGATTTGTTTTACTTAACTTTGGCTGATCTTCAACCTTTTTCCAAACTAAGTGCTCACATTAGGTGGGTTGCACTTAAATTACAGTTCTGCCCAGTAGATTCACAACCATGCTGATTTCACTGTAGCCATTAAAATTCATACTTTGGTAGAGATCATCTATTTTCTAATATAAGCACTACTTAGAGAGTGAATTTCTAGTAACACTGACAGTCTGAAGAATTATGTTGAGCAATTTGCAGCTACGGAGGGAGGATATAATCTCCCCTCAGTAAAATGCCTTGACTTCTCAAAGCTATTTTAACTATGTACAAGAATTCTAATTACTGTGATCTGAAGTTTCTTAATTACCTCTTGTGGTACGCTTCATAGCAAAACTCAAAATTTGATGATCTGAGGTTATAAAGATAAATTTTAATGGTGGAAGTAGTGAAGAAAGCAATGTTTTAATTTGGTTGAAGTCTTTCTGGGTATCTACTATATTTACAGTAGTTAATATTAAAACAATAATATGCATTGCTATGATATCAAATTCATTGCTGCTCCTAATTGACTGTGTCTTTCCAGACAGTGAAAACATGTTCAAATATTTCAAATGCAGTTCCTAATCAACTTCCTCTAGCTTGTAGCTTACTCTCACCTCTGTTACACTTCCATGTTGTGTGTGTAACAGAGATATGACTAAATTATTCATATTTCCTTTTTCTTTGTGAATATAGTATTTATAATATTTTTCCCCTTTTTTAACATTCAGCAAATTATGGTAGAGACTAAGAATTGGGGCCAGTTCTTAAATCTTTATTTTATTAAGACTCTTTGAACCTGTCTCCCTGAGTCTTGGGATATTTACATGATACCTGTTACTAAAGGATTTGAATGGTTTTGTAATGTTGTTTAATATTCTGTAATATCTGTAGTAATATTTGCCATTTAGTCTGGGTAGTAAAGAGGGGTTCTAGACCTCTGGTCACTCCAGTAATGTCTACAATGAACATATTTTTATTTCAGACTTGCAAACACTGCATGGTATTTTTGCCCCCCTATATACAGCATGAGCTATAAAATCTATTTATTACCTGTTGTAACCTTGCAAACTTGTAAATCAAATAAATTGCCTTTAGGGGTTTTACTTATTTAGAATTTCTCATCCATTCTGAGATGACAACATCTTAAGGAATATCATTCTAAATTTTTGTATATGTAATGAAATAACAGGAAGCATGGTCTCTGAACTGATCTGTTCTCCCATCAATGTATTTGGATAACCTCCGCTGACCAGTCAGATTACAATTTTCTCACCACTGAATCTCTGGGACATCTCATTGATTTCTTCTAGTATCTGATGCTCAATTTATTTTCATATGCAGAAGTGAAAATTCTGTTTGATAACAACAGTGCTTGTGTATGGTAAAATAGTGTTTCCTTATCAGTTAGAAAGTTTAGGGAACTTGTTGCTCAGTGCTGAAGAAATGCCCACTGCATGTAGCAGTAAAGAAAAGCTGTGATTCAGGAGCTGTGCCTTGATAGACTGGTTTGTGTTTGTGTATTAATCCAGTTGTGAATTCTGTAATCACCCAAATACTTTGAATTACTCATGTTACATGCTAACTAAAAAAAAACAAAACACTATATGCATTTCATGCTGTTTAACAGGACTGTTGAACATTTTACGTATGTAAAATGTAAGTAACATTTACGTTAATGGAAGTAATTTAAGTAACATTTACTTAAGATAACTTTTGAAAGACATTCTCTGTCTGTTTTCTAGATATTGTACAAAATCATTGTCATTCTTGCTGTTACAGTCAGTTCGCTACTTGGTCTTTGATAAACATCTAATTGTGTTATCTTAATCTTCAAAACACAAATAGCTTTTTTACATCTCTTTGTGACAATGTGTCTTGTTGCTACAAGTCCAGTTTACATTTGTTAAACTATGTCCTTGATTATTCTGTGGATTTATTCTTTTATTTTTCTATTTCGTCTAAATGTGTCAGCTTGATTCGCTCTGTGAGGCAGATACAAATATGGGAACTGCCATTTCCCTTGTGCCAGGTTCTTCATGCGGTTTTACCTTATGCCAGGTTCAGTTCTTCCTCAGGAAAAAGAGAGTTTTCAGAGTGTTGGCTTTCATATGTCTTAGGTTTCATGGAATGCTGAGCTCATGCAGACCT